TCTCAGAAGTATGTATCTGTTTATTTGTTGATATCTCTCTTCCGAAGAAGTGTTTTGCATATCCGGATACCATCTCGTAGAGCTGGCTTGAACTGAGATTTACGGTAGAGAGCAAATTACCTAATTGCTCTTCATTACTGTAGGATTACGGTAGGAACTTCAAAAAGGGATTTGAGCCATTGAGGGTCCTCTTACGCTTCAGAAAGCAAACGACACAATCTGAACTTTTACACTAGATATGAACTTTGCACTTCACTGAGGTGCTTTCCTCTTGAGTTATGCGAGGTAAACCGCAATAACACCGTTTTTACGATGTTTCATGTAACTGTGATTACATCTTTTGATGCCTTACAAACTCGTAGAAAGTTGAGTGATGGAATTAGCGTGCATAAAAACTGTGGTACACCACTTTTTGAACTTTTTGAAAACTTTTTTCTGAAACACTAATCCACATAGACGCCGTAAGCTAAAAGTTTCTACAATCCTTTTTACAAACGATCGGTGATTCGCTTTATATCGTAAAGCTAAGTTGGAGCCAGATCTGCAAAATGGCACTTGAAGGTAGGAAATATAGTTGTAACGAACGGAAATTTTCATCGAGTGAACGAATATCGAATAATTGATTTTTGAGAATTTTTGAACGAATGAATATCGAATAATCGTTTTCGAAAATTTTTCGAATGGACGAATACTATTCGACTTCCGATTTTTATATTATTCGAATTTGAATATTCGAATATGGTCACATTCCAAAATTCGAAAGAACGAATATTCGAATAAACGAACTTGATCGAATAATCGACTATTCTATTAATCAAATAACCGAATATCATCGAATATTAGAATGCAATATTCGAATATTCAAAAGAAGTAGTCGAATAATGGAATATTCAAAGAACGGCTCTAAAAATTTTTGGAATTAGCAAATATTCGAATAACTGCCTTTTAAAATTCCCCGAGTACTCGAATATTCGAATAAGTTATTTTTCCGAATCGTCGAATGAACGAATTATTCGAATAAAGACCTTTTTTTTTATTCGACTATTCGAATAAACGAATAATCGGACTTTCTCGAATATGCGACTATTCGAATATTCGAATAGTCGAATATTTCGAATAAATTATTTGAATACGAATATTCGGTTCCAACTATAGTGAGCAAAATTTTCTTGGGAAGAGCGATGTTAACGATAAAACAGTATATGCATACTTTTTGGACATCCTGTATAATGACTTGCGACAGTGTGTCAAAGAACAGCAAAAATCGCACTTGCTTTAGTTAAGGAACTCGACCAGCACATAAGATTCCTTAACTTTAACTTACTTGGAACATCCACGATATTCTTGATAGTCAATCGCTGCGGGTTACAGGATTGAAAGTCGTGTCCAGCTAGTGTTTTCAATTGATCCATCCATCCAGAAAACATCAGCATCATCAACTGCTACTCCTTAACATCAGCAGCTGACGAATCAGAAATAGATGATTTTCAGGAAGAAGTCGAGGAGGTTATTCGTGAGGGAGCTCCCGATTTGCAAGTTTGTTGTGAGCGACTGCGCGAAAATCACGATGCCACTAAAAGAAATGAGAAATGCGGGATGAGGAGGGATATGGGCCCCGGAACGAAAACTGCAACCGTTTGGTTGTACTCTTCTCCGCCGCGCGACTTTTCCATAGAAACCAACTTCATTGAGAAAGAACATTGCTGGTGAAAACGTAAATCGCCGCGGCACGACTGATCTTAGACTGACTACAACTTGATTCGACCTCCCCCAGCCACCTCCTTTTATCAACACTAAGGTGAATTTTCTTTCCCATCTTTTCACTGATATTATCGTTCCAATTAAACGGTGATGTCAGCCACTGCAGAAAGCAACTAAAGGAGCACGCTCTACTTTCCATGGGTGAGTATGTACATAGTGGAATGGTGGAATTTCGGCGAAGGGTGGAATTTCGACAAAATATGCGATCTTTACATTTTGGGCAAAATTCATGAGGATATGTTTTCGTAGGCTCGTAACTCGGCGATTTCTGTAGAGTGGAGTCTGGGCCATGCACCATTCGATGGTCCCTACTAACTTTGACTTAGACAAGCAAGCAAGCAAGTTTTTTGACAAATACGCGAGATGTGCGGGCAAAGTTACGCACTTTCGTGATTCAGTTACAGTCATCTCACGTATCTCATCAAAAAGACCCTGTAATCCTTAAAGACCTTGATTTTCGTAAAGAGCGTTTCCGAAAACCTCTATAAGCGAAGTTTCCTTAGAATTCAGGAGCATCAACATTTTGACCAAATCCATCGGCGAGCTTCCAGAGCGTAAAACGAGAAAAAATGAAATAACCCGAACATCTCGGAAAACTTGCTCATAAGGATTATCCGACCTGCTGATTACGAAAATCACATCTGCTTAGCAAGATAGCTTCGTATTCTAGGGCTATGGCGAGTGGAATTTGGGACGACAAGATTTTTTCAGAGTTTCTTTGGAAAGAAGTATGCGGCTAGCTCTTAGCGCCCCATAATTTACAGAAGAAGTACTATCGAAAAACTTTTTCTGAATCTACTGGGGGGATTACGCGCTGCTTTACACCTTTGCGAAAAGACGTCCGCAGAAAGTTTCAAGAATACTGAAATCGAGATATCAAGGACATTCTGCATACCGAAAGATTCGCCTTGATGAGCTGAGCACAGTGCTTTTTTCGGATTCAGAAAATATCCACTCTAAAGAAAGTTACGGCGAGTAGAATCTGACGAGTGATTTTTCCAGAATTTACCCAACGCTTTTTTCTCTTTTGGAAAGAAGTCTGCGGCTGCTTTCCAGCACACTATAATGTACAAGAAAAGCACTATCGAATGGTACTTACTGGAATCTTTTATGTTGGATAGGCGCTGCGTTACATCCTTGCGAATGGACCTCCTTAGAAAAATTTGAGAAAACTGGAAACGAGATATAGAGGACATGATGTACGTCGTAAGATTCGCCTTGACGAGCTGAACACAACGCTGCTTTCGGATTTAGAATATATTCATTCCGAAGGAAGTTATGGCGCTGCGTAATTTGCGATATTCCGGAATCGCGAAATTTCTGGAATTTCGCGAAATTCACGTTCTGTGGGTGGTATTGTACATTGCACAGCACGCGCGGCATTCCACAATATGTGCCTCGCATGCGATTTCCAGCCATTCCCCTTTGTCTTTCTGCATTCTGGGACCCCTCAGATAATCGCCGGGGGCAGGCGGTCCGCAAACTCGCGCTTTTCTGCAGGCGGTCAGCAGGATTTCGGGGCGTGGCCAAATCTTCAGCGGGCGATATTTGCGTTTTCTGCAAGCGGGCATCAATACAAAATTTTCTGCAAGCGCTCGTCAAACAATCTCTTTCAGCGAGCGCTGGCCAAACTTTCAGCAGGCGCTCAGACTCTTTTTACGCAGTTTCGGGCGTACGCCGAGAAAAGATGGGACTCTATGTGGCAGAGGTGCCATCGATGGTTTTATTACCCAAGTTTGGGGTACTTTCTCTCAGCGGAAAGTACCTGAGGGCTGTGCGGTCCTTCAAAAAGGACCGTGCGGCTCTCAACAATTTTGCATGTTCCCGCGGAAAATCCGCGAGAATGCGGCCACTGTGCCGCAACTTATGTATAGAAAAACCGCGATAGATCCTCGAGCGTTCGTCTAAAAATTGGCCAAAATTATTCCAAATTTCTGCAAGCGGACCACAAAAAATCAGCGAACTATTTTTCCGGTGCCCGCTTGCTCAAAATTCGCATGGCCGCTTGCCCCCGGCGATTATCTGAGCCGTCATACTTCGCCGAGAAAAGCCCAGATTTACACATATCCGTGCAGAATGAGCTCTTGGACTATACCTGCCCAATTTCTAAAGTGCTCAACAGAATGTGTATGTAGCCTCTGGAATCAGCACACTGAATAATCCATCTACACTGAAGATCCATTTACACTAAAATTTAAGAAGAAAACCTATATCCCACGACTGGCACATCTATATACTGGAAGATGCGCCTCGCCGAGCTGAGTTGAATAATACTCTTGAATATAGAATTCATAAATTTTGAATCAAGATAAGGTCTATTTTCTAAAAAAGTTAGGCGTCGCGCGACAAAGGCGACAAGTGCCGCTTTTCCGCTTAACTTTGTCGCGCGACGCGGCGCTTGCCGCCTAACTGCGGCGGAGCCGCGTGAGTTAAGTGCCGCCGCCAATTTTTTTCACAAATTACGAGCGGTATTGTACCATATCCCAGTCTCCGAAGTCATTAGCTTCGGCACAAAGATATTTACCGCAGGTTGACGTGTTTGGTTACAAAAACAGATCCTGGGTTGGTTTATCTGTGTTATACACTGTATCCTCGGTATGAAGGTAACACCCGCTGAGCTACTTTTTTCAAGTTTTGTACTTTTGCCCACATACAAGCTGCTAATGGTACATCATTTTCGATAATGAACAAAAAATTTGCACAACTACTCTTGTCTGTGACACCGTTATATAGGCGGGTTATGTAGGCTGCTGTAAAATTTTTAGATTAAATTTTTGTGATTTTGATTACTTAATCCTTCAATTTCTCTGAATAATCGACATCACAATCTATTTTCTCCATAATGACCCCTCTTTTTTGCAACAATCAAACAGTTATGTTAGAAAGTGATGGAAGCTAAAAGTGTGTTGCAGTGTATAGTCAAAAACCCTTTACCTCGCTCCCTTTGTTCAAGTTGCTTTGAAGAATACACAGTGAACGCTTTTGCTATAAAATTCATGATGGTGTTTTTTTTTTTCAACTAACAGTAATACTCCTGTACTTTGTATCTTCGCGCCATTGGAGCAGTAACCTAGATTATGACATTAGTGCTGAACAAGCTACGTAAATATTGAGTTCGATAGTTTAAAGTCACACTGTAAATATCGAGTTGATGGCTGCAATCGACGTGGCTGCATGAATATAACGGGCTACGGTATCCTCGTGATATTGCATGCATATAAAAGGAGCAGCGCATCGAAAAAAACGTCAAAATGCTTTGGCTGCTCTACATTGCAGCTGTGGTTTGTCTCATCTTTCATCCTTAGATTCCAGCTATCAAATTATTTTTTCAGCATATCTCCGCATCGTCTGCGTCGGAGGGAGGTGAGTGAATGTCAGAAATAATACTATTGTCGATTCAGCTTTCAAAGGGAGCCTGCCTGGCAAGATGCATCATGATTGGAAGAAATTTTGTATTTGTTAGTTATCCGACAGAATTCACAAAACATGCTTTTCTTATGTGCCTGGATTGGTCTTGGTCCAGAGTAGCTTCACTTCCTCTCTACATGGGAAAATACCGTTTTGAGACTGATATAACTGCTCCACCAGTTCCTTGCACGTGTAAGCAGGCATGATATCATGATATCAACGCGAAAAAGCAACAATAACAGCTAAGATGTAATTACTTATATCCAACTTGACGTTCTCAAGTGTCTAGATTTGAGCTGGAGTGAACAACAGATATCTGCACAGAACTTTTCGAAAGGCAAGCCTGAGCTGTCGTTCTCGTCCCTGCTGGCCGAGGGAATGTCTCACTGCGTCTTAATTGGATGTGCAAATTCCAAATTTTCCTGAAATTACTAAATCTTCCATCCATTGGGATTTATGACGGTTACTTGTTTGATATGCAAAATGCACTCTTGACACAAATACACCCAAAATATTCCAAAGGTTATAGGTGTGCCCGACGGATTGCATCTGTAGATGGTGCCAGAAAACGATTTTTAAAGTAAAGACCAATTTGATGATTTCGCTGTTGAGCATGGCAAATCACAGTATATTTCCATCTTCCATCTTAGAAGCCTTCTCCCAATTTACGAAATTTCATCTACTCTAATGTGCTGTCACATAACAAATTTGATCAGTTTGCATAAGCAACTGCTTCATTGTGCAGAGGTAGCTGGAGAATATATTCATTGTGCCAGGGTGGTCGAAGATTTATGGAGCGCTTAGTTTTTTGCAACTTTCATTTAATATCGGAGCTTAAAGCACTGGCCTAGCTGGCTGAGCAGCTATATGGCCTTCCTTTCGAATTGGTAGCGAATTTCGAGCTGGAATGACTCGTCTTTTATCGTGCACTCTCGGCACTTCTTTCTCTGCTATCTCTTGCATCATGAACTATCTTCGTGGCCGCAACGGCATTGCATTCCACTCGACGTATAGTACTTGCAACACATTGTGTAGATTAACCCACATTCTATAGCCCCTCGACTTTAACGAAAAAGCGTTTATTGCATAACCTGTAAAGAGGACTGAAAATGCCAATCGTAGTTCAGTCCTTTCTTTATCAGCATAGTTAGCAAACAAGGTACTCCGACGTACGAAGGGATTGTGAATAATATTGGGCGATTTTCAGCTCAATTACACCTACATCAGCACCTACCTTTGCTCAGAGAGTAGAACAATCGTGTCATTAAACTGTTACTCTTTACAAATACCCACCTACCCCGTCCAAATCAAGCCCCTCACATGCATGCTCACTTGAATATCCCACCTCCTGAACTTTGAATTAGTACAGTCTTGCATCTTCTCTAAGTATTGGTGCTCAAGCCTTCTCCCATGCTCTACTGAAAACGAATCCAAGAAGACAGAAAACACCATGCAAATCAGATCGTTCAGCCAAAAAGAACACGGAAAGAAACAGATATTTTAGAAGAAGTAACATCATCAAGTATTGGTATATCGCTCTCACCAAATGCCCAGATACCAGAAACAACACTAGGTGAAGCGCTGAATTTGTTTCAAAGTTGTTGAAAATCTCAAAAGTTTAGAAACTAACATAATGTGTCCCGGCAGCATTGGAATGACCGATGAGTTAAGATTGGCTTATCTTGATTTTCACAACAGTCGTAGGTACTCCAAAAACATCTTATGATTGTTTTATCAAGAATTCGTGTTTGAATATGTTGAGGAGTTTGCTTGCATCGGGACAAGCAGAAAAAAATGACGGGACAAAAATGCCAGGCGCTAAAAATATGCTGATGTTGGTAAGTCATAAACATAGAAAGTATGATGGTTGCATGCAATTTTTTTAGTTTTACGATTGTAAACTGGAACGATCGGCGCTGCAGTATGCTGGTCAATGCCCTAAGATTGGATCCGACCCGAGCTCAAGAGGTGAACAGGGAGAGAATTTCTACCAGCTTACCGAAACCGGAGAAAACTTTTTGAAAGCTGCCCAAAAGGTAGGATTCGCAACATTTTGCATATGGTCGTACCACTTCTGGAATTGGAACGATAAGATGGTATTCAATTATAGTCCAGTCGTTCGTGGTACTCAGTTGTTACTGTGTATCCTGGCCTTGGAAAACTCGCAAAGTATCGTGCTAATCACGTGGGAACTCCGATTACAACATTTACTCAGGTAAGCATACAATCGAAAAATAACGAGGATTACGGACGTTACGCTCAGATGGTGTGGGCTGTGACAAGAAGAATGGGTTGCTCAGTTGTGCATTGCCCACCTTTCTTCACTTCTGTTTGTCGATATAATCCGGCGTAAGTTTGTCTGTAGCACGTATCATTTGTTACAAATTTATACTGTTTAAGAGGTAATGTTGTTGGCGAAACCGTTTACGATCCGGGAGAAACCTGCACAGCTTGTCCTTCTGAAACGACCTGCAGGCAGACTATGGGTCTTTGTAACTGAATGTGAAATGAGAATGGCAAATGATTTTTTGATTTAAGAATGCCATCAAAACATGAATATTTGAGCAATACATTCGAGATTTTTGTTCTACTCTAGTCTAGTCGAACACATAAAAACTACAGATGTCGTATTATTTTAGTCGTATAAAGGGTTTTCGAGTGTGACTGAGAATGGTCCAGATATGTCTTTTTGCTTTTAACTTTGTTATATACCAACACTGAGAAATTAGTAACGGTGTGAGTGCGAGCTTGTACTTTTGCCTAAGGCTTTATGTGCGTCATGGGCAGAAGTCAGTCGGATAGGAAGCTTCAGGTTGTTTGTATTAAAAAGGGCAACATATTGGGCTATCCCAAAACTTTTGTCACTTTGAACGACAACGAAGCGTTCAAAAATGCTTCCAATGGAACCCCTTCCCTTCTCCTTCTGATGGTCAATTTTTTGGATTTTTTCCATCCAGGATCGTCTCAGAAGAAGACTAGGTATAGTACAGATAGAGCTTTGAACTACGCGTTAATGCGCTTAGTCATAAAACATTACAACAAACATAACTGTAGCAAGAACATGAAAGCTTCTAAATTTTTTGCAAGTTGAGCTTGTTTGTTATTAAACAAAACTGTGCGAATCAAGAAGTGATTTGCTTAAAACAGTTTTTTTTGAAGTTTTCGGTAAGCCTGTGCGTTATTTGTGCTCAGACAGCCGGGACTTTTACCAAATAAACAGTTATTACAGACTACTACATACTTGACCTAGGTAACCAAAATGAGTAAAAGTATTCATAGGTTTACTCTACAAAAGAGCTACCAACGTCCTTCTGCAATGCGACTAAAATTTTCATGAATCGGAGAAAATTTGGGTCCCTATCAGGTTGCTCAAAGAGCAGTGACGATAACATCTCAAAGTTTGCATGGATCAGAGAGAATCTGTGAGAGAAGAATCTGAACCTAATAAGTTTCAAGTTACTCAAGTTTTCCGTCTGTCAATGTTAAATGTGTTCTGGTGAGCGATCAAAGAAAAGCGAAGAAGACTTTTGGGGCAACCTAATATAATGACGAGTAAGCACCAAACAAGAAAGTATACCAAGTTGCAATGGCCAAATGTGAAAAAATGTATGCCACCTATAGCCTTCGACTGCTGATCCTAAGTCTAGTCTTTCTTTGGCTGCGCGCCCTTTTGAAAAAATTAGAAATGCTCAAAACTATAAACTTCTTGGAGTCTTTTCACACAATCTACAACAATGGTCAGCATGAGCAGGGCTCGGCACGAGATGGCTAGTTGAAAATGTAAGGAACGAAGTCTTTCTTAACTTCTGCGAATTTTTACGAAGTCCCTTTCGACCCTAGACCATGAATCCTCAGAAAAATCTTCAAAAAACGAAATGTCGACGAAAAAAACTTCGTAATGTGTCTTTTCGGCCACGGAGACGAAAATCCCTTTCTTTTTGTCTCGAAAACGATATCCAGCTTGCTTATAAGCCAACTGTGCCGAGCCCTGAGCGCGGATTAGATCTGTATATACTGAGTATAAGCACAAGAAAAAGAATACTCTCTAGAAATTTGCATAGGCGTTTTTGCGCACTTTTTCGCGTTTTTATCTCCTTTGGGGCTTTACAAATTCGATTCTCAAACAAGCACTGATCATGGGCTGACGATTTGGCTAACAGCTTAGCACGCCTTCTTCGGGGCCTAAAAGACTGGAACCTATGCGAAGCTGTTCCTTTGAGCGCGTCGTTGCTCCAAAAGTTACTATTTCAATACCGAGCGGTTTTAAAGCATAATCAGAAATTATCAATGAGTTGAAGCTTGCTTTTATCGCCAGCGACAAAAGTCTGCGAACAGGCCATTTGTGTAATTGTGTCATTGGCGCTGTTACATGTTAACACGCTGTTACATACCTACACATACGAATAGACAGGACAAAGTACACTGCACAGGGCTGACTATTAGTCTGCCCAAATCACATTCCACGTGAAGTTGTGTGTTGAAATCTGATAAAGCATCAAGATTGTCTTTTGCTGTCGCCGATTATATCTCTGCCCCAAAAAATCTTTAGAAGTTCCCCATTTATTTTAGCATATGCTTGACACATCAAACATGCAATTTTACACTTTCTGCATTTTCATGGCTAAAAATAGAGAAAAAGGAATGGAGTAAAATGGCAAACTCTGCCCCTAGACGTCTTGAGCTCCTCCCACGCATGTGATCATACAGCTCATACATACAGAAAGTACGATCATGTATTTGTACCCTTTGGAGACGCCCCAGTTCTCAAGAGGTACCTTTACTTGGGGTAAAAACGATAGAAAATTATGGGACACTAGAGAGACCCCACGGGGGTGATCAGCATGCTCGGTTACCCCCCTGTGCCAACTCCCAGCCCCGTAGCTCGAATTTTGCAAAAAATCGATAAAATCGATATCGATAGATGACGAAAAGTAGCCTATGACACCCGCCGGGGCTCGAAGTGTATGCTAAGTTTGGTCCCGATCGGTTCAGAAATGGAATTTTCTATTCGGAACATACGTACGTACAGACATACATACATACATACATACATACATACATACATACATACATACATACATACATACATACATACATACATACATACATACGTACAAACAGACATTCAGCTTTATATACAAGATTTTAATAGAAGATTGAAACCCCGTTGCTTCCAAATCAAATAAGAAAATGCAAGAGCGTCTATTCACGCAGGTTTTACGTGCAAAATACGTATGAAAGTGTCTTCAAGCCAAAAAAGCGAATAGCCGGTACTTTTGAAGGTACGATATAGCTTGACCAGAGGTGACATCTTTTGAAATGTAGTCAAATTGAAAAGGATTTTGCAGCATTTCATTGACAATCGAGTGGGTTACGGCATGGGTTACGGCATTTCTTAGGGTAGACCTATAATTTTGGCTATTACAGAAAGGCTTTTGAAATCTATTGCTCGTTGTAAAGCTTGTACTTAGTTCTGAGGCGACTAAGGTAAACCTATCACGCCTTAGTTCAGTATCAACCATGTCATCGATCTCGGTAAAAAAAATTCGTAGGTTACCCTATGCTCTCTCTCCCTCTCGAAAAAATGATCGGGTAAAGGGCCGCGTTTCGAGCAAAATAGCCATGGTCCGAGACCGACGGATAAAACCTTCTCCAACAATGAATGTGCCCTTTCACTCTGTCAAAAAGCTCATAGAGCAGAACACTGTATTGTTGTTGAGGGCAATATTGCCACCCACATATCCCAAAAAAAAACTCCAACTTTTGTAGGATTTTGTCGTCACAAGCTGCCGAACGATTGGATTTTCAAGGAAGTGCCAGAACCAAGAAATTTTTCGAAACTTTTTTGAAATCTCCTTTACATTGAACTTCTTGTTTAGATCCATTGGAAGTGTGTGTTAGCCATTTGATTATAACTTTAAGGGTTTTCGATCATAAAATTAAAAATTTGATCAATGAATGAATGCAAATACAAACTGCTAAGTTCATGTTTCGCACTGGCGTGCTTAGGCCCTCAGCATTTTACTCTTTACTCTTATTTTACTCTCTACTTTTTAGGTACTCTTTTTAGGTATTTTCGGGCGTACGTCGAGCGCAGGTAAGACTCTGTGTGGCAGAGGTGTCACCGTTGGTTTAATTACTCAAGTTTGAGGTACTTTCTCTCAGCGGAAAGTACCTGGGGGTTGCGCGGTCCTCCACAAAGGACCGTGCGGCCCTCGTAATTTTTGCATATTCTCGCGGAAAGTCCGCGAGAATGCGGCCACTGCGCCGCAGCTAATCCATAAAGAAATCGCGATTGTTCTTCAAGCATTCGTCTTTAATTTTGCGAACTTTCTTCCAAATTCTGCAAGCGGGCCGCAAAAAATCAACGAACTATTTCTCCGGTGCGCGCTTGCTCAAAGTTCGCATGGCCGCCTGCCCCCGGCGGTTATCTGAGTACGCGGATTCTAGAACAGATGCTGCGAAGTGACTTTCACTGGACTACTCAACCAGCAGCAAGTTGATGTAAATGTTGTTATCGTCATAATTTATCTAACTGTAGGCAGTCATCTAATAACTTCTTAAGAACTTCCGTGGTATCAGCCTGGTCTAACCAAAGACGCTTTGATATGCATTAATTTCGAAAGAAATGTATCTGTTCTGTAGTGCCCCATTAGTTCTGCATCCTAACAGGTGACGTGGTCGTTAGATAAACCTATACGGCTGGGGGAAGTAAACTTGCTGAATCTGGCACTAGTATCGGCAGAACGATTTTTAAGAAAAATGTAATAAAAGAACGAAAATGACAAACGCAAGCCGATGAAAGTATTCAGATAGCAAATCTGCAACGAACGAACTTACACTGCGGTACTTAACGCTTAGATCACATGCTGACTTGAGCAAAAAGTATCTCGCTTCAGAGACTACAATTTTATTTAACCTATGGTAATACAGTACGTGAGGCAAATGGCGCAGTGGTATGAGGACCGCTTTACAATGAGATCATCAGATTGATTTCCGCTTCCAACCCAACCAAACCCTCTGCTCGCGGCACGGGTGGTACCAGAGTGATACGGAAAAGGGTAGAACTGACGTGGTAAGCGGCTGATCCCAGGAAATTACTGAGGCACGCAATGCCTTCTCGTAAAGTTGGAATGCTTGACGTCTGTTTCGAGTAGTGAGGGAGGAAGACGAGAAAAGAGGAAACAAATCTATGTATGTAAAAATTTTTATTCCGATATTACTGGCTTTGTAAGTCAAGACTCGACGGCTAGGAAAAACCGACATTCTGTGATTAGTTGGAATTGATCCAACAGTGCATGAATGTCAGCTTCTCCAATTTTTGACACCTCTTCGATTTCTTCCAATCTTTCTTTGAAAAAATTTTTAAAAAATTAGCCTAGTTCGAAACATGAAGCTGACAGCATTGATGCAGAATCAGTGCAGTTTTGTTTCAAGCGCCTGCGCCTATACGAAAAAAAGTTTTTCAAAGAAATGGACATTTCCCAATGTTTCCCATTGCATACAGCTTGCTACATACAGTGCGTCCATGTATACAGCTTATGTCCGCAATGCGCGGCAGTAGGCCACTACTTTCTACTCGCGGAATGATTTAAATTTTCGTTAGGCATTTATCTTGTCGGCAAATTCTTTGAACCATTTCTTTAAGCGGTAACAACTGAAGTCTTGAAACTTACATTT